GTTACAACTGAGGATGACGTTGTAACGTCGAAACATGTTGAGTCGTCAACTTTTTGAAGGCCATAGTTGTATACATGTTATTCACTTTGTTTTCTTTTCTGTTTATCACATCAACATTCCTTTTATCCATTCTGTGCTTCTTTTTCTGTGGTCATTTTATCAAACTGATATTTCATTTATCAGACTAGTGTTATTTTTACTGTTTTTTATTTCCTTTACCTCTTCTGCATTTTATCGGCCGTTCTGTACTAGGTTCTGATGTAATATTTATTTTCATTTTATTGAACAGATATTCATTCTGTTTCTACAGAACATTTAGAAGTAACTTGGTCTTAAAGTACGACTTTTTTTTCAGATGTGTATCGAATTAAAACGTTACAATGATCATTTTTCAGGGTAAGATCACAGCACAGGGGAAGCTGTTACTACAAGGAAGTCTCCTTGTAGGCGAGCCATCATCAGGAGGAAAGTTTAAAGATCGTCAAGTCTTCTTCTTTGAACAGATTATCATTTTCAGTGAGTCTGTGGGTCAGAAAACGCAGTTCTCTAACCCTGTGTATATCTACAAAAATCACTTACAGGTTAGATTATTAACGATGATTTAACTTGTGATACTGTGAAACTCGCAAAGTTCTACATGTCGGAAAACAGCTTCTTGTGTAATAGTTATTTTTATATTCTTATTTAAAAGTTACGGTTTACAAGCCAGCCGAAAGCTGACGAAGCAGCAGAAACCAATAGGCATAACATTTGTGATAAAAATAATAAACTGCGAATGTTTTTTTTGTTGTTGTTGTTCGTTCCTTTCAGTTTGTCCATTTCCTATTCAAAATCAAAAACGTGTAAAAATAATAATTTTAGATCTATTTTTTGTTCCATAAAATCACTCCCCAAGAGTCCTTCTGTTAATATCAGAAATCATCTGTTGGGCTGGACGATGAGACAAAAGATTTTCTGAAATGCTATTTATATATGTTTTATAATACTTTAAAATTTGTAGTTTAAACTCCGAAATTTGGCGAAAAAATTAGAAACAAATACGCATAAGATAAACTGGATTTTTTTTTAAGCGTTCCACATAACTTGTCCATTTCGGATTCAGAATCAGAGGCGTGTAAGAACAGCATTATACTGCATATATAAATAAGGTTTTAGAAAATCTTTCGTCTTCGTCCAGCCCAAGTGCTGGTACTGAAAGAAAAACTTCTTGGTCTGTGGTTGTAAGGGACAAAAGCTAGGCCTGAATTGCTATTTTTACGCGCCTCAGGTTTTGAATCCACAATGAACAATTTAATAGAAGAAAACATTTGTACTTGCGCGATTTTTATCATAAAATTTAGAACTGTGTTGTTATTATTAGAGAGGTGTTATACATCTATCTAAAATTTTTAAAGTGACTTACAGTAAGACTTTTATTTGAACATATAATAGCGCTCACCATCAAAGTGGCTTTGTAATAAGCTTGAGGGCTAATAGTAATAAAATCCAAGGTTCGATTCGTACGATAGGCACAGTACAGAAAACCCATTGTGCAGCTTTGTGTTTAATAACAAACAACTAATCACCATCTTAGAAAAGGCGTTCATATCGTAACAGTTTTGGTATTTTCTATAAACTATTGTTGCATCATGAACTTTGGTGGCATTGTTGTGCTGTGAAATCTTTTGGTAACTTCATTTTCTACTCCATTTTTATTTTTTATATAGTAATGTTGATCTGAGTATAGTACTTAGTTTCGTGATATAGTTAATTACAGAAAATGTGTGTTCCTGATGAAGGCCTTTAGCCGAAAGGTTGAGTGAATAAAAAACTTTGAAAGATTCTCTGGAGTTCATGGTCGTGTTATTTATTCATAGTTTTCTACTACCTGAGACAACAAAATCTATTATTTTAGGTTAACAAGATGTCGTTGGAGGAACATGCAGATGATGAAGACAGTCTGAAGTTTGTTCTCAGATCCAAAGATCCCAATCAAGAAGGCTTATGCTTTGTTGTCCAAGGAATGTCACGGGAAGATCGGGATGAGTGGGTTTCCAACATCCGAGCAATCCTGGACACCCAGTTAGATTTCTTAAGAGGTAATTTTTTTGTGATAGTCATTTCTAAATTATTAGTATAATGACATGCTTAATAAAATGTTTGTTTTTGGTATAGACCTAAACCATGTGTTCTTATCTCAGATGATGTGACCACAGTAGTGGTTTGCTTTGCTTGTTTTAATAAAACTGAATTTGGGATTGATTTCAAAAGTGACTTTGCCATTGGATGCTTTGACATTACATTTTACTTACATTTCTTTATTATTACAATTATGCTTGTCATAAAACAATAGTATTAGATTTATTACGTTTTTAAACGCTACATTCTTAATCTAGTCCCTTAGGGATTTTCAAGAATTAGAAGAGTATGTAAGATTAAGAACGTAGTGTTTAAAAATGTAATAGACTTAATACTAATGTCTTATGACAAATATAATAATAATAATCATTCTTTGCGGGCTTGTAAAAGGCATACATACCATAACAGTTTCTTTTATTATTGTCTCAAGAAATGATTAATTAGGCTGATATATATTATATGTAGTAATACAAGAAATTTAAAACTAAATTGTTTTTGTTTAACTCGCACTTAAACTTTGTGCTTGCCTCGTAATTTTTATAATACGTTTTCAATCAGAAAAATGCTTCAGTCATTATTAAAAATGCAAAGAAAAATTGGAACTGTAATGTTTTATCAATTACGTGCTATTCTTAGCTATAGAAATTTTAAGGTTGCTACACTCACTGTCTTATGAATATAAGATATAATTTTCTTGTTTGTTTTCAGTTGTAATTATCTTAGAAAAATTGTACGATGATTTATAAACTGCCTTGATAACATTGATTGCTAAATATAGTATTTTGGCACTTGTGTACACAATTAAAAACATTTTATTTAGGCCTATCTATGGCCTTCAAAAAGTTGACGACTCTACATGTTTCGACGTTACAACGTTATCCTCAACACCCTAATAAAAGATCTATTATCCTCCATTAAATTGTGTAACATTTAGAAGCATTAAGTGTCTATTGTTGAGAAGTACAGAAACGCACAATGTCATTCTGCAAGTCTCTCTCTTTGTTATATATAGTTTAATATGTTGTATTAAAACGGTTTTGTATATGCATACCGGCAAATTATGTGACAACAACTGTTGCGGTGGAACGGCATATATACACCTGGAAAAAAGTTAAGCACCCCCAAATATTTTTCAGGATTGCT